TTAATTTAGTCACGAATACATTATATCATGATACTACATATAACGTGGAGCGACGGGCTCCACGTTAGGCGAACTTGTATAGTGGCCACCCAACAAAGATTAACAATTCAAAATTTGTTACAATAAAAACTACATAGTGAGCGGGTGTTAATATAAAAAGCTGATCAAACAATTCCGAAAGATTGTAACACTAGTGAAATCAACAAATATAAATATATAAACAATTATAAGACTAAAGTAGCAAAAATAAATCGGCTAAAAAGGTTTTATAAATGCTCCTATAAAAAGAAATCATACAATAGCCACATTGAAAGTAAGCAATAATATGAGAATAATTCAATATAAGGCTTTTTCTATGTAGTGGGGATTGGCATGTAATGTCTATTTATCATTTCACTTCACAATAGGTCCCTTTTACGCATTATGGCTATAACGTGAAAGCTTTTTCAGTATTCCCAAGACATTTTCGTCTTCTCGAGTGTCTACCTACACTGTAAATACAACCGAAGTAAAATATATAAAATATAGGTAATATATTATTCATATTCATATGAGATATAAATGAGAAAGGTCGTGCTACGGTTCAGGCACGTGAAAAGAATTTTAGATGAAAAGATGTCGAAACAAATATGCAATGCCAAAATAAAAAGCATCGGGACTTAACAGTAGTGTCTCCATAGAACTGCGTTACATTTTGCTTTCTTATATTTAATGATATAAAATCGTGTCGGTGAATTAGCAATAAAGCATTCATAAATATAAAAAATGAAAATTCAAATTAGAATTTACTTCTCTAACACGGTAAATTAGTAAAGCGCTTATTAAATTCCAGTAATTTTAATTCCAAATTCTAATTCGCTTTACTGATACGGTAAATTAGTAAAGCGCTTATAAAATTCAAGAGTTATTAATTCTAAAGAAGTGCGCAATTTGAAAGCGACTTCAAAATTAATGGAAATTAAAGGTGTGGTAATGTTGGTTAAGAACGATATCGAATCATATATATGTATTGCCTTTCAATAAAGCATTACTATAAATTCTGATATCAAGAAGTTCGTCGGAATTTTGATACGCGAAAATAAGAGCCTTACCCATTACCACCACTAGCAAACCAGTTCCACATACTATATTAGATCTTCGGATATAACATCGTACCTAGTATTATCATCATTATATCAGCTTTTAACTGTCCGCTGCTGAACATAAGCCTTTCCCTAGGGGGGTTTTACCAATAGTCGTCATGTTTGACAGGCGGATCGACAACCGTAGTTAGGCTTTGGAGATATTTTTAAAGGAACGCTGCTGTCTATCCCTCGCCCTCCCGTGTTTGAATATATATAGATAGATAGATACTCTTTATTGTTTCCTCCAAAAGATTACAATAGTAAACTTATTATAAATATAAATAATATATATATATATATATATATATATATATATATATATATATATATATATATATATATATAGAGTAAATAAATAAATTAATCGGAATATATGTATATATTCCGATTAATTAATTTCTTTACGAAACATCTCGTCGTCACAAAAAAAATCTAATTATTATTTCGTTTTAATAGAAATAATGAGGTTACAAATCAATATTAATTTTGTTATTGGAAAATTTAATGGAATAATGGCCGATGAAAAAATGAATTGACTGGATGATCGCGTACAGTGCGGATTCAAAGATGTTTCCTTCTACGAACGTTTAGGTTATAAAATGAGCTCCCCGTCGAGATTTTTCATTGAAACTACAGTAGAAGGTTTTTTAAAAAAAAGGGGTAAAGAGGTTTCGTCAGGTACGGCAATGTGCGCGTAATGTCCCTGGCATTGAATTGGTGTTCACAGGCTACGATAACCATTTACCATCAGATGAGAGGTTTATTACTTCAGAAATAAAAAAAAAAAACATTATATATGAATAAAAATGATGTGATTTTTTAATGTAGAACAAAAGCGGTCTCAGAATGTTTGTAAAGAATTTATTACGCCAATCTATATTGGGAAAAATTGTTCATTCACACCATAGAAAGATGATGCCAACTGCAGGTATAAATTGTCTACGTTAACATGGCATGCTCGTTCAAAATTTTCCTTCAATGTATGTGACCATGTACAGATGTGGTGTTTTCTTTATGTTTGTCAGGTAACGCAATCAGAAGCGGTCTGGCCAGAGGAATACTATATTCCGTGGTCGAAAACTTGTAAATATTTTTACTCACACATTTTTAAATCTTTGAATTTTGGAGGAGCATGCTATCTATACTATCCTTAATCTCTCTGGCTGACGGTTGGGATAAACTACAAACTAAAATGCAATGGCAGACAACAGGCAAGACTCATAATTGGTGCCTTAATTGGACATATGCCAGTAAGGCTTATTCTATACAAGATGGGTCTATCTTCGAACCTACTGTGCAGATTGTGCAGTGAGGAATCAACATCAATGGAACACCTGATGTGCAATTTGTTGGTAAGTATGCGTATGAATCACCGCGAAGCATCGCAAAGGTAACATATAGGATCTATAAAATGATAGTATAAGATAGGTGAAAGCACAAAAGATCCCAATGAGTCGAGACGCAATAAATTAGCTGACCCCATATACAAATAAAAGATATGATTAAATCTTTAATCTACTAGATTTCAAATTACTATGATCGTTCTGTTATACGCTTCACATAGCTAACGCTTATTTTTGTCAATATTCTCAATCGATCCCCGTGTAATCGGAGCTTCAATAATACGTCATTCCAACATGTCAGCCTTACCACGAGTATTGTAAAGGAAAAATAACATGATCACAATATTTAATATATCTTATACTACTTTTTTATTCTTTGTTTCGTACCCATGGAATTATGTAGTGAGAAAACCAATGCAACAAACCACTTCTAGATCTCATGTCAAGATAAAATATACACCAAATTTTAAATTAGATCTTCAGGAATACAAGTGTGAAAACCGCATTCAATTTGGTGCAGTAGTTTTTGCATGATAATGGAACAAATATAATATATACATATAGAATTGACATATTTTACGTAAATGATAGCGTTAATTATGTAAATTACCTATTTAAAGATACCTCTAATAATAATAAAAAAAACAACTCTTAAAAACCCGCGACTTCCTTCGCGTGATCGTATGTTCTTTGACCAAGATAAACGTAGCCTATGACCTTTTTCATCCCGTATACCAAGTATACAAAATTTCTTGGAGGGAAAGGAATTTAAGTTATGGGGTCTAACTGCCTTATTGCTAGCAATACATCCTATCAGGTCGACCTCCACGCGGTTTCCTCTGGAAACCATCTTGGTTACTTCTACTGGAATTCGTCACGATGGGCTAACACACCTACTTTTATCCTGACCTATCATCCCTCACTGGTGCCTTGCCAGTGTATACCAATAGCGCAGGCGGGGTTACCATATCATTATCACCCATTAAAAGTATACTGAATTTTATAGCAATTGGTTAAGCTATTAAGGCGCCAAGAAGTAACAAACAAACAAACAAACTCATTTTCGCATTTATAATATTTACTAATAAGTGATGACTAAAAAGTTTATAGCAAATAAATTGACAGTTGACATAAAGGCAAGCGGTAACCGACATCACAGATTCACACTGTTCTGGCGTCAATGGTTTTTTTTTTAGTGGGCAAAAATGGAAAAGTAACCCCGCCTGCGCTATCGGTATACGTTGGCGAAGAATTAGTGAGAGAAGATTGGCGAATTCAACAAGAATTAACCACGATGGTTTCCAGGGGAAAATTGCATGGATATCGACCTGATAAAGTATATTACTAGCAGTAGGGATTTTAGTACCCATTACTAACAATCCCTTTCATACCGTACCCTATTCATTCCTGAAAACTTAAGTGTTATGCCTCCGTATATGTTACAGGCAGCTGAAACACAAGTGGGATAAAAGTACTCAAGCGAATGACCATTGTACAAAGTCTACCTCTAGTGATTTATGACCTATTAAAAAAAATGACATAGAAGATTTACTCTAGAAATTTCCCTAGAGTTAATCTTCTCAAAGATTTGTAAACAAAGTGAAATATTTTAAACAAAGCATTTGCAGCTCATATTAAAATTATATTTATATTAACATACGTATATAGTAACTTATAAATATAGCTTTAGCTCATAGTAATTAGTGAAAACTCACGTAGGGGTGATGAGGGGAGGTCAGTATTTATAGCAGTTGTAGGCAGCATTTAATGCCTTGTATAGAACACAAAGAATGTTTAGGTTTTATGTTAGTCTCGGGTTTTAAAATAAAATATTATCTTACTAATATTTATATATTATTTATTCATTTAAATAAATAAATAAATAAAGATTATTATTATAAAATTATTGAGAATGTTTAAATTGTTTATATGCGTTTCAGTCAATTACGTTTAAATTGTTGAACGTATATTAATGTAATTTCACTAACATATGTGGTACTGAAATTAAATTAAAATCCATTCAGCAATGTAAACGTGGTTGAGATACACGCATTGTAATTAGATTACCATAGATTAACACACATACTTTATATACTAATTTGCACGGAAAAAGCCGCAAGATATATAGCCAAGTCAACATAAAACTATGTATTTACTGATAAAAAATAAATAGATTTTTGTTATGTTGAGATTACCATTTAGTTTTAAAATTTATATCGTAATATAATTTCTTTATTCCATTTATTTATATTTTAGAAGTATTAAGTAAAAATCTACTTATAATACTATTAAATATCAATAAAAATAAATTCAAAACGTATCCAATTATTTCGAGTGGTGGATATGTTTTGTTTTTTATTCGTGAAAACACAACAGTTGCGTTGTTTCCCATTTTCACAATCAATTGTAATTGATTGGAGAGATATAAAAAACAGTATTGTGAGGATTGCAATTAACAATAACCGTGGTATCCTACATAGTTGACAATGAAAAAAAAAATCTTCAAAAACAATCACAATGAAATGAGTCTTACCTTAAAACATTGAGCACGACAAAACAAAACAACGTCGAGTTTCGAAGCGTTCGACCACTGTAGAGAAGCGATAACAACTGGGATAAATGATAGGACAGTGCGCGGGTTCCTGCGCGGTGGGTGCCAGCGACCAGAGACTAGGGTTCCGACGAGAGGTTTCCAGACCCTGGCAACTACGGAACCTCACTTATGAATGATATAGCTGCCTGTGAAAGGTATCCCGCGATGTGGGTGGGGTGGGGTGCGCGGGAACGTTATATAACTGGGCGATCGATACGCTGGGCGGCACTGAAACCCGTCTGGGCTGTGTACATAATGTTCTTTTATGGGCGGCTAACAGTTCGCTTAGTGTACTTACATTTATTGCGATGCAATTTATTTATTACATTTATCATTCGATTACTTGTTATTGGAGTAATATTGTATTTACTTACTAATTGTATCACGCGAGTCTACTGTCGAAACTTATATTCAAAAGTATATTATGTATTATATATATATATATATATATATAAATATATATATATATATATATATATATATATTTATATTTGAACAATTTACAAAATTTTATTAAAAGTTATATACTATAGTACTGATCGAATATAAATTTTCAAATATCTGCACATATTTAATCACTAGCTATATACCGTGGCTTTGCCTGCGTGAATCAGTATGTAAATTATCTCATGTATTAAATTAGAGTGCAATTAGAATGTATTAAATTAGAGTTAATTAAATTAGACTATCTATGCCAACCATATTTAATTTAAATCCATTCTGTAGTCTTTTTTGTGAAAGAGTAACAAACATTCATCCAAATATATTTAAAAATTTTCGAGTTAATTATAAGTAGTATAATAGACTACGATAGGCTGCAGCATTCGGCATATTTCTCAAATATTATGGTTATATCTTATTTCAGATAGAATACAAGAAAAAAAAATACAATTGAATTGAGAATCTCTTCCTTTGGTTTGTTCTATCGGCTATCTGGAGTTTCAAAAGTATGTATATATAAGGCTTTTTTCGGAGGAAACGGAAGACAACTATTTGATGGGAGCATTTTCCGTTTTACTTTTTTAGCCTATCCCAATAGTGCAGGCAGGTAAATACTGTTGACACTTCAACACGTTCCTGTAAACACTTTCTTCCACGCACAACTAAATTATGGAACCAACTCCCAGCAGCAGTATTTCCGAACAGACTTTGAAACCTTCAAGAAAAGAGCATAGTCCTTTCTAAAAAGCCAGCAACACACCGGCAATTCACTCGACACGGATGCCTATGGGCAGCGATAATCAATTATCGCCAGTAGAGCCGCATACTCGTTTGCCCCTTTTATTACAAAAAAAACGTATACTCAAAGGATTGTTAACGACAAGCGATAACTAGTAGTGGCTCCATTTATAGCAATACACGGTATATCAAGACATGCAATCCTCCTTAGAAACCACCGTCGTTAATTTCTAATAAATATATTCTATTAGATTTTTTATGAACTAATGAAAGAGTTCATTCTCGTTTACCATTCCCTCGCTGATTAATATCTCGCTTGTAGCTGGGTTACAATTCCATATTCATCAGTGAAAACTTGTTAATAAATAACCGTGGTCTCAAAATTGGGATAACATGTAATGTAAGACAGCAAACAAAGGGATATTTAGAGGCACAACTCGAATGACTGTTGTGCCCTTTTTTATTTAACTATCAAATTAATTTAAATCAAGCATTTTATTAGATCACCAATATGAACAAGCCCTAGTGAGTGCGTAGTATATAAGGTCTCTCATTCTTTCGCTGAGGCATTTAATTGGAGACAAGCCACGTCGACGCAAATATTCCGTGCAATGTCAATTAATACGTTTCATTCTTATGGGCCGTACTCTCCGATTACATTTAATGGTCCACTTCAGAGATGAGTTGACAATCCTATGATCTCATGTTTTAGATATATATTTTAGTTGTCTTTGTTCTTAGAATATTTAACTTCATTCTGTTATGGATAGATTTATGTCTTTTTTTTATACAACTTACAATGGCAAACAAGCTGACGGCCCACCTGATAGAAAGTGGTAACCGTCGCCTATAGACATGAGAAGTACCATAGACATAACAGAGTATACTGTTTCGCCCATGATACCCCCCATGCGTTGCCATTACTGAGGACTCAGGTGTTATTCCTCTGTACACTGTAAATTCACGCCATATCCCACACTTCAAACCGAAACACAGCCATGCAAACACAACTGCTTCACGGTTGAAACACGAATGAGACAGAGGTACCCAAGCAATCGACTTTTGTACAAAGTCTCCCTTTGTACCATTAAGCCGTAGCTAGGTAGATAAGAAAGCTAGATTATAAGAAGTAAGCAGGACTTTAGACCTTTCAAATGTATATGATCAGTTAGTCATGTTATGCTGCCGTGTGGTTCCGGCATAGAATAGTCCACCTCTTCCTTTCCCGTGGGTGTTGTAAGATTCGACTAAAGGAACACGAGGGATGGGCAGCAGCGTCCTTCTTAAAATATCTCTAAAGCTTAACTGCAGTTTGTAATCCGCCTGCCAAGCATGGCAACTACTGGCAAAACCTTCCAAGACCGAGATTTATGTTAAACAGTGGGTGGTTAAAGGCTGATATGATGGTGATCAGTTAGCAGACCCATTGCTAGCTATATATTTTGTCAGGTCGACATCCACGCGACTCTGGAAACCATCGTGGTTTCCTATTAAATACTTCACGAAGGGTAACTGACTTGAATTCATTCTCACCTATCATTCCTCACTTATATCCACTTTATTTGTTTTTATTACTTTCATAATTCTGTCATAAACTATGAAAGTCACACGCGTATTCTAGAAACTTCTAGATGTAATTATTTTATATATTACCACTTTTTATTTGTTTCATAGTTTCGGTATACCGCTTTGCTCGTCCCTATCAAATCGGAGCTTATTATGTTAATTAATATAATGAATAAATTATGTCCCCAATTTATTATAACATTCTGGATAAAATTATGTTAAAATAAATATTATGAAATGAATAAGTAAAGTAAGTTTAAATATCTATAACGGACTTTTTTTATTACAGTTATTATATCAACCGTTAGCTGACCATTGCTGATTTTAGGCCTCACCCATAAGGATGATTTTTCCTGTAGTTGCCACGCTTGGTCGCTTAGTAGCTGTGTCGGCAACCGCAGTTAGGATTTGGAAATGTTTTAAGACGGCCACTGCTGCCCATCGTTTACTTTCCCCTAGTCACCTCTTACGACACCCACGGTAAAAGAAAGAGTGAGCTAATCTATGCCCCGAACCACACGGCAATTTATTATTATAGTAAGCTCATTAAATTGCTTCATTATGCTTTTACTAAAAAAAAAAAAAACACTTAAAAGTTACATTAGAGTTACAAGAAAAAGTCAATATATTTTATCTGAAACCTATTGAACTGCACGTAACTTTGTATACGTAGATTTTGAATGTTAATTACATATACCATTTTTAGATAGCATATTAAGATAAAACATAAGTACACCAGATTTCAAGTTAAACCTTTAGGAATTGTTAGGAATTAAAATAGAATAGAAATAGGAATACAATTGCATCACAGAATTTAACAAAATTATATTTTTGCCTTATATTGTTTTTATTTTGACCACTTTATATTTTTTTCTTAATTATTTCCTACGCATTTATATTCTCTGGTGGCAATTTTATTATATAAAGTACAATACTGAAATTATTCATGAAATAAGAGAATTTTCGAGATAAATATAGATAACATAGAATAGATGGTAATTTAGCACTGTTTTAATGAGGTTTCTGTGGTATTCCATTAATGTCACTTGTTAATTAATAAACGGTATAGCGTTGGCAAATCAACCACATACGTATCCTCTGGCTATATTTGGAAATCTACCTATATCTATTCACATTGTTATTTGAAACAACGTGATCCATTCTGAAGCATCATTCTCAAAGATTTCATTGTGTGTGTATGTGCACAAAATTTTATTCTTTATCTCTAAATTGTGTAAAACAATGCCGTGTGTTCACGGTATAGAATACGCCTCTCCTTCCTTTTCATTGGACGTCGTAAGGGAGAATGAGGGATGGATAGGAGCATCTCTCTTAATAAAATCTCTAAAGCCTAACTGCGGTTACCAATTCGTCTGCCAAGCGTGGCAATTAATGATAAAATCCCTCAAAGGGGGAGGCTTATATTCAACAGTAGACGGTTGAAGGTTGATATGATGATGATGATGATGATGATGATGATTATATGTGAAACAAATCGCTGGTTACATTCGTTTCTCCATTTACTTCTATTAAACTATTAAATGGATTTTGGTACTAGTTTCAGTGTCATGAATTGCTTTATTATGAAATGCCTGTATATGCAATTTGCAATCATACGAAGTCATACGACTCGAGAAATACAACAGCAAAATCTTTTGCTCTAAGCACCAGAATTTATTAAAACATAATAGATTTTAACCAAAATTACCCCAAATTTATTTTATGATGATATAAAAAATACGCTGCACAGTCTAAATTTAGAGATAGGTTTAAAAAATGCGCTACAGAATCGACCGCTATATCTAACGCTTCATTGAGTTATTACATGGCGTATAATAGCACATGTGTCTCGCTAAATACCTATTTATTACTTCAAAAGCCCATCCGTTAAAGAGGTAATGGTAGGTAATATGTAATAATATTTATATATTGTAGTTACAATATCTATTTTTTTTTTTGTTATTATTATTATTTCAGCCTCTAACTATCCACTACTGGATATAAGCTTTCTCCATAAGGAGAGATTTCCCAGTAGTTGCCACACTTGGTAGGCGGGTTGGCAAACATAGTTAAGCCTTCAAGGATGTTTTTAGAGGTACGCTGTTGCCAATCCCTTAGTCGCCATATCTATACGGGTCCAATAACAATAATAAAAGTCTGTTATCAAAAAAATAAGATTGCATAAATTACTTTTAACATATTTGAAAATATATCCCACCGATATGGCCGACATCGAAATGGGTGATAACTGATAACCTTATTTCCGTTATTTATGTCCACAGGAACCCAATATATAGATATCGGATCGGTATCCAAATTACCCGTCGAGTAAACGGTATATTACATTAATCGTACATTTATCTACGTATTCGTATTCGTATTACGTATCTTATGCACTTTTTTAGGATTAGCGTCGGGTACGTTATATATTAAAAAGTACCAAATTTTACATAAACCTGTTCAGTAATTTTTGCGTGAAAGAGTAACAACAAAAATCCATCCATCGTTACGAACTTTCGCATTTATTATTTATTTATTTATTTATATACATATTTTTGGTGAGTTTTACAATTTTTACCAATGCACTCATTAAAAATTAAAAAATCAAACATTATAATAATACAATATTGAAATAATAATAATAATAAAAATAATAAAAATCTAATTATGTTATATAAAATAAATATTAAAAATGCATTTCTGCGTAATTTGTTACCGCTCTGCGAAAGTCTGTGGCAGTACAGTGAAATAAGTCCAGATTGGAACTCGCTACTACCTCATTGAGCAGACATAGCGCCCTCGTGAGTGGCGTCTGATCAGCAAGAAATGTCCTGTTGCGTGGTAGGGCAAGTATTCCGTGATTACGGTCACGCTTGCTGATGTTATGTTAATAGGATTATAATGTGAAAGAATAGATTTTTATTTATATTTATTTATACTTTTGCACACATCAGAAAATGTCTACAGGGCGGACTTAATAAGACTTGAGGTACTGACTCTATCAAATTTATTTGTTATTACGAGTACCTAGATTTGTATAATTGAATTTGTACTATATGTACTCACTCATTATAATATCTGTTTATATACAATTCTGAATCCTAATTTTGCTCTTAATACTCACTACGATATAAATTTGAACAGCCGTGCTCGAAATGATGAAATGAAAAATAAAATTATAAATTATAATTTTCTTTATACTATGAAGGTGAGATACAAGCGTACAATCTGTAATATTATGGAGGTCACGTGCACGTTGCCGATCCTGAATATCTCTAAATAACATGATTTTTTTACACATATGGCATTAATATTCATGAATATGTCTGTTCGTATTGATGTAGGCATTTTCTATGTATTTTTATTTTTTGGTTATTAATAAAAACATAAATTTATTTATATCTACCGTTAGTGCAGTACAATACAAGCTCTGCTTAGTTTAAGACCAGAAGATGCTGTGTGAGAAAAAGTACGTAATTTTACAATCTACGTTTTACGATTTTACTATTACCAAACTATTAACAAGTTTACCATCAGGCGGGACTGTATGCTTGTATAGCACCTTTGTTGTATAAAAAAAGTCTCCTTTCTAAACTGTGTGCAATATAGAAGTTGTTGAAAGTTTCGATTTATTACTAATTTCTTTTAGAGACTTTTTCTGATGATTAATGAATGAATGAATGAATGAAAGCTCTTTATTGTTCCTTCAAAGTATAATTTGTGTTTCAACTACGATTGAAACACAATTTTAATAAAAAATTACGGTTGAAAAACAGCTGTGTTTGCATGGTTGTGTTTCGGTTTGAAGGGTGGGATATTGCGTGAATTTACTGGGTACAGAGGAATAATAAGAGGAATACCTGAGTCCTCAGGAATGGCAACGCACGGGGGGTATCATGGGCGAAACTGTATAATACTCTGTTATGTCCATGGTACTGCTCATGTCTATAGGCGACGGTTACCAATTTCCATCAGGTGAACCGTTAACTTCTTTGCCATTCTAAGTTGTATAAAAAAAATTACAACAGATTATAAAAATTAACAATATGTACACAAACAAAAGCAATACTTAATTACATACCCTTCATTACATAAAAGCAAGATAAAGAGGCAACAATGGGCGTCCTTATCGCTAATTAGTGATCTTTTCCAGGCAACTTTAATGATGATAATGAATAGCAAATATTAGGAATAGTCCCGCGCCTGTGCTAACGGTATACGCTGGCGGGGCACCAGTTAATAATGATAGGTGAGATGAAAAGGCAGGTCAGTCAGCCCATCGTGACGAATACACCTGGAAGTCTGCGCGGTGGTTTCCAGGAGGACCTGACAGGGTATATTGACAATAGAAATGGTAATTGTATTTTTTTATAGGTGATAATGAAATAGTAACCCCACCCGCTAGCAATAGAAATGGTAATCGACATTAGGTCGACCTAATAGGGCTAACAATCCAAACTTCCCCCTCTCCCCGTGTAATCTCACACTATCTTATCATTAAGTTCTATTAAAACGTATTTTTTTATTTATGGTGTTATAATGAAATAGTATCCGTAGTATCTGAACAAGTCACAATAATCACTTACCTCAGCGACCGCGTGAAACATTATACCAAATAGGTATACAGACCTACGTAATTGCTTTAAAGCATTCGATTAAATATGTATTTAAAAGCTTGACTTGAAAGCATTTTTTTTTGTAGCTCCGTGTTTTGTGAAAAACATTAATGCCCTTAATAAAATTATTATTTTTAGGTAGATTTTTTTTAATGGATGATAATGGAATGGTAATCCCACCCGCGCTATCGGTATACACCGGCGGGGCACCAGTGACGAGTATGATAGATGAATTCAACAAGAATTGTTCATGGTTTTCAAGCAACGGTCATATTACTAGCAATGGGGCTGTCAAACTCTATTGCCTTTCCCCTCTTTTAGGTTAGGCCCTGTGGTTATCTTACTAATATTATAAGTGTTAAATTGACTGTTAATCTCAACAAGAATTGTTCACAATGGTTTCCAGGGGGAACCGCGAGGAGGTCGACCTGGTTGGATATATTGCTAGCAATGGGATTCTCAGTCTCCATTACTAACAATCCCTTTTCCCCCTATTCATCACGATTGGCTAATTAATCTGCCTTTTCATTCTCATCTATTATCCCTCACTGGTGCTCCGCCAGTGCATACCATTAGCACAGACGAGGTTAGCATTCTATTATCATACATAAAAAAAAAACTCTCCTGGGCTCATCAATATAATGGCAGTTCAGACTCTTAATTGATGTTATGATTACTTGCTCTGTATCTGAACTCATATTTATTAATTATTTATTGTAATAAAAAGATGCATTTGGCAGTTTGATTTCTCTGCCTATTTCCATGGACACAGCATGACACGCGATCAGAGTGCTCTCAAATGGACGTTGTTTTTAAAATCACTGAAAAATTAATTCGGTTCATACGTTTTTCATCAATAGAATATATTTGTTCCATTATTAATCCTTTCCGTAACAGGGTAGGTATTTATTTAAGTGTTTTTTATCTACTAGTAAATCTTGGTTATGCCTTTAAATATTAATAGATATAAAAAAATGCGTTGCAGAAAAAAAAAACTGTCTAAAATTGTGACTAAATCAATTTATTTTTATTTAAAAACTAACCTACGACACCGATTTTGGTAAAATTTCTATAGAACTAATCTGAAAGTACCTATATTCTTTGAGATAAAAAAAAATCCAAATTGGTTTATAAATGACGGAGTTATGCGGTAACAAATATAAAATACAACCAAATTGAGAAATTTTTTTTTCAGTCTGATGATAACATCACGAATTAATAAAACCACTCGAAGCAATTTTGATATTATTTATTTAATATCGACCAATAAATCGGATTATAAATGTCGGAGTTATGAGGTAACAAATATAAAATACAATCGAATTGAGAACTTTTTTTGCAGTCTGATGAAAATATCACGAATTAATAAAACCACTCGAAGCAATTTTGATATTATTTATTAAATATCGACCAATACAAAACATCAATATTTATTAACAATACAAGTGTGCATTGTCAATAATTTTATCCTTAACTTTATACTTATATAATAAATTATAATACTAATGTTAAGTTTACATAAATTCTTGGGTTGTGTGTTTAACTATCAATTGAACGAAACTATTAAAATTTCTTAATATGGTAGTAAATTTAAATTTAAAAAATGAGAGACATCTTTTGGCCTTTTTATCACAAGATTATGACCACATAGGACGTATAGTCATACCAGAGTACCAAGTTGATCTTATCGAAATTATTTATTATTTTAGTACCTATGTATTTACTATACAATAGTGTTAAATATTTTTAATATTATAATTATATCTTAGATCAAAAACTAGTACTTTCCAAAGACCTCGTGATTTAATATACAAAAAAGGGAGATACGAATTAATTTTCAAATAATTTTATTAAACTATATATTTTAATATCCTCTGAGTTATCTGCATTTTGGGTACACATCTCAGAACAATAAGACCCGAGCTACTTCAGAGCAGTTCGTTACCTACATTGGCCAGCCAAAAATCAAACCCTAGACCACCTTTATGCAAAGTAACGTGCCAACCACTATGCTATGGAGGTCGTCAGGAGAATAATATAAGAATAATAATCTTCGGATGGAAGTGGCTGATTTTTTTATATAGTATGTCTAAAAAAAAGGCCAAATTTATTTGATAGATACGAGAAGTATATAATTTATTCATAAATCATCGCTCTATCGTTATGTGACAATTACGTTATCCGTGTTCCAAACATATTTTCTATCACTGGTAATCCGACATTTTATAGACATTTCTGATACCATTGTTCAGCAACTTGTGAAAAATAGGTTTTTATTTTCAACATAGAATGTACCTATATATACCCTGCTGACAAGAAAACGTAACTTAAATACACTTACATATGTATTTTAGTTCCACGTAAACTTACGTTGTACCAGTACTCACGAGTAGAAAAATTACCAATGAAACTCCGTTAACTAACATATTAAATTTAAGATTAAATTATAAACAACATCCTTATAATATCAATGGCATGACAGATATTCCATTGCAAATAAACATACTTACAATTAGAATTAGTATTTTAAACAAACACCGTCTGTAAAATGCCAATTAATGTAAAAAATAAATATTTTAACAATATTACTGTAAATCACCAATTCACATAATTACGTAGAAACTTACGTAAGGTAAAATAGAACTTACTTGCTAATTTGCTCAATGCAATAACTATATAACAATGGCACTTCTGTGACTACAATAAATATATCACCTCCTTTTCCATAAAGCTCCGCATTACGAGTTACAACATAAATTCAATTCCTGGTTATTTCAATACAAACAGTTAACAATTTGTTCGCGAAACAAACGTACGGTATAAAAGTTTAGTAGTGAACATACTAGAACTCTGCGTCGGGATCTTCCGCGTCTGCTAATTTGACAAGACCTATGAAACTCTTCTCCGGTTCCATAATAGAATGTCGGTCCCCTGACGTGTTCCTAACAGCGAGCTTGTCGCCGGCTCTCAAGAACAGAGCGGAAGCAGAGAAACAAGAGTTGGCTCTGTCCAGAGCTTCGGGGGAGTGGGAAGACTGGGTGCACTGGAGAAGTGTGTCGCGCCCTTCCATTTCTGGATTCGTACGATGGAGTACCCAAGAGACTATGTCATGTCTATCTAGGTAATATATCTGTGAAATAAAAAAAACATACTTCTTTAATAAAAAAAGCATTTTAAATATGAGGGAATATCTGCAACTACATTATTTGGCTACATTCAAAGATAACTAAGTAATTTTAAATAACCAAAAAGTGGCATTTTAGTTTTTAGCGTAAAAAAGTGTGTAAAATTTGTAGTGCAAATTGCATGTACAGTAACAATTTGGCAACTTGGTAAAATCTGAAATATTACATATTTAATTTTTGAAGTTTACATTTTACAAACTTATATTTTTAATCTCATATTGACTGTAGTATTTAATATAATTTGTATCGTAATATTTTATTTAGCACAATTAATTTTTTTGTTTTGCAAAAACATTAATCTGTTTTTATAATCAAATAAAAGATATTTGAAAAAATATTGGAAATCATGCAAAATCATTTAATTACGCAGGTACTAATTCGTAAGCTATATTTAAGTATCCTAATTAATAATATAAAATAATTTAAATCCGTTTATTAGATTTTGTACAAAAGAGTAAGAAATATCACCCATCCCTACAGGGTTGAAAGGGATTGTTAGTAATAGAGACTAAGAATCCCATTGCTAGCAATATATCCAACCAGGTCGAACTCCACACAGTTCCCCCTGGAAACTATCATTATTAATTCTTGATGATTTCATCATGATGGGCTAACTGACCTGTTTTCATTTTCATCGACCACCCTTCACTGGTGTCCCACCAGCGTATACCGTTAGCGCAGGCGGGGCTACCATTCCATTTTTACCTATCAAAAAGACTATCCCTACAAACTTTCACATTTATATTATTAATAGGATTGGACAAATGATACAGACATTGCCAGTATATATAAACGGGGCATAAATCGTCATCACGACTTACTTGGACATAGACAAGGTAGACACCAGTGTGGTGCACGTGTATGTGGCCATTTCTGGTGAGTGTGGGCCGGGAATGTGGTGAGGCCAAGGTCCAGCTCGAGGGGTACCATACATCATGGTGAGCGCCATGGGCCAAGCGAATCAAGCCGTTACCTATAAATATAATTAAGAAAAAAGTATAAATAAATAAAAAAAATTTATAACTATGAAGTACACAAGATATAAATAAGAATTAACAGGCTGTATATTTGTTTCCATAGTTTCAGAATTAGAATATATACATAACGTTTTAATTTTATATTTCACATTTCATTATCACATTATTAAATTAAATAATTTTAAAAAGTAGATTTTTTTTGTGTCTCTATAGAATAATCATAATATAATAATAATAGAATAGAGACACAATCTCTATTAATGTTACTAACATTATCCACAGATAAATTGTCTCTCTCACTTTAGTCTATTTTCCTGTATTCTCTCTTCGTTTTCCTTCGTTATTTTTTTTCTGTTGTATGTGTGCTATAATTGTGTATGTTTTATATATTATATATGTGATTACTACATATGATATAATAATATAGATTGAAAACTAAACCTGGAATTATATTTACCGAAAATCCAATTATATTAATAATAACGTTGTAATTAATATCTCACATTTAATATTTCAGTGACGTTTAATATTGATTAAAGACAATTTATACACGTATATAAAGCCAAAAGTATCAAATTTGGAAAGTTTTCGAGTTATATATCAATTAGGAGAGATCTTGGAGATTTCAAATAACGTTTGTAGATATAAACATCCAGTATGTAATTACATAAATAAATTGTAACTAAAAGAGACAAAACTTGTTCAATATTTAGTTATTACTTCGCTGGAAACGTATCTTATTTGGTTTAATATTGACGCTATTAGTTTGTGGAACTATCGTTAAACTATCATCACATAACAGTTGTTACTATTACATATTTATTTAATCTGTGATATTAATATTTGTTTAAGTCTATAAGTATTATTATTTCTTCTATGGTACTAAAAGTACAAAGAACGAAAGTCGAGAAAGGATCAAAAAACTTTGAACGCCTTATAATAAGATGACGTGTTGACTATAAGGTTTTTGTTGTTTTTCTTCAAGAAGAATTAAGTTTTAAGCAAGGATTCTTCTTATTAATTATTAATAAAAAAAAAAAAATAACTAAAACTAACTAATTACTTAGGTTTTACCCTTTCCAGAGATGGTACTGTTTGGAACGTGAAATATAATTATTACCACAACATTTTTACATGCCCCACATATCATATCATGTCTATAGGCGACGGTTATCACTGTCCATCAGGTGTATCAGCAGCTTGTCATTCTACGCTGCATAAAAAAAAAGCAAAAAAATGGACGCTGCAAAAATAATTATTCTAGTAGTGTTAAATAGTATTTAGTTATTTCAACTTTTTTATGTTCACTACTGATTACTGGTAAATATTAAAAAGTGAGTAAAATAAATATATTCATAAGTCTTGACCAGATACTTATAGGCTTACCTTTATAGTGTTCGTGTACTTCAATATTGAGATGTGAAGTATTACCATGGAAGTGAGCCGCGATGAATGGCCGTCTTTGACCTTCCTGCAAGCGTAATTTTCATTAATTTGAATTGCGCCCTATCCGGAGTATTAATATCATCTGAGCCAGAGGCCTTTTTTTTTTTAACGTCAGGGAAAATGCGTCATGCAGACCCACACAGCTTAGGGACCGTGTGGGTACTGCCGGACTCCTACCGGCTAAATAACCTGACGATATACCTCCCATCTCATAATAGCGACGGTGCCGCGGGTTCCCGCTTTGAAATCTACACTGGGACACCGCCAATCTGAGCCAGAGGCCTATAGGATATTATCATCGTCATATCTGCTGTTATCTGTACATTTCTGAACATAAGCCTACCTCGAAAATGTCATAAGAAATGGGGTCTTTCCTTATGGAAGTTTACCATAAGGAGGATTTTACCAGTAGTTGCCATGCTTGGTAGGTAGGTTGACAACCGAAATTTGTCCTTTGGTGATGTTTTAAGAGGGACGCTGCCCATCTCCCGTCCATTATGTTCCCTTAGTGGCGTCTTACGACACCTACAGGAAAGTAAGGGATGACCCATTCTATACCAGGACCACATTTTTTTTTATATACAACTTAGAATGGCAAACAAGATGACGGCCCACCTGATGGAAAGTGGTAACCGTCGCCTATAGACATGAGCAGTACCATGAACATAACAAAGTATACTGTTTCGCCCATGATACCCGCCATGCGTTGCCATTCCTGAAGACTCAAGTGTTATTCCTCTGTACCTAGTAAATTTACGCCACACATGATAATGATAAGAGATATATTAATATTTTTACATATATAAATTTATTATATACAGCGTGCCAATGAATATTTTTAATATTTTAATACGTTTTATAAAATTTTGACCACATTTTAATATGAGTACGTGTTGGAGATTTCGAACGTAAAATCGACTGGAAGTTTTTATAGTTGAACGACTTCATAGTCGTAATATCTATCCAAAATATAATGGAAAAAGGTAATAAAGCAATACAACAACAATATTAAGCACATAATATAATACTACCTATACTAATAATAATAGTAAAACTGAACCACTTTCCCTTAGAAATAGAGTAAAAATATGAAAATAATTTCCAACCTTTCATACACTCACGACCGTATGATTGATTTGGTATACGGGAAAAGTTATTTAATCCAAGGAATATTATCGTTTATAGAATCCAATGAAGGTAAGTACTATTATACCTCTGTATCACTGTTTCTAGCCGTTCTTACTACAGTGTGTGGCGGTGCTTTTGTTGATGACAAGGAGACTGGCGCAACGGTTGGTAAGAATTTCTTGGTCTTACGTCTGCAAAAGATGATAAAAATAAAAATAAAATAATACATACTTAATAAATTGCATCACTTAAATTATTTTAAAATCTCAAAATACCAAATTTAAATTTTTATAAAATTAATATGTGTGATTAAAATGTTAACTATAATGTAAAAAAGTGCCATAAAAGATCTCACAACCACCTAATAAGGGGGGAAAGGGATTATTAGTAATAGGGCTTTATTAGCTTCATTACTAGCAATATACCCTATCAAATCGACTTCCACGAAGTTCCCTCTGGAAACCATCGTGGTTAATTCTTGTAGAATTTATCACTATTGACTAACTGAGCTGCTTTCATCGTCACCTATCATCCCTCACTGGTGCCCCACCAGCGATACCACATAGCACAGGCGGGGTAACCATTCCATTATCATCCCATTAAAAAAATCCCTAATTGATATCCGGCCCTCCAGGTTGTAATGTACATTTTGAAAAACACTAGTCTAGAGAGTAATATTGCTTATTAGTGATTGTTTATTATGGAAGACGAAATAAAGACATTATTTATTAATGTTGGTGTATAATAGGAGACGAGATAAAGACTTTTGAGTATATTTTTTGGTAGACACCTATTAATAAAATTGGAGAACATATATTTACAAAAAAATTACCAAAGAAGTAGAAAGTTCGAAATAAACAAAAAAGAATAAGGTTGTTAATACGATTTTTCGAACCATTGGAAATTAAAATTCACTAAGTAAAATAATTTCTCAGGTAAGTAAAGCCTTAGATTATATTCCCAAACCTTTGATTATAAAGTATATACATTATACCATGTTTGTGCGTAAAGGAGTCAGTTACACGACAAAATTTCTTACTTAGCTATGTCATTAACCGAGGCTAACTCGAGTATCTCCGTTGGGAACTTTAATGTTAATTTAATACTAAAGTTATAATTACATTTACTTTTAATGAGATAAAATTCATTAGTCCACGTAAGTGGTAATTGGATTCCTGGTTCAATGGCCTGTAACCTCAGCTTTATAACCGGGTACATAATTTTTTTTTAATAGATGACAATGGAGTGGTCGCCGCGCCTACGCTAACGGTTTACGTTGACGGGGCACCAGTGAGAGATGATAGGTGAGAATGAAAAGGCAGGTCAGTTAACCCATCGTAATAAATACACCTGGTATTCAACACGATGGTTTCCATGGGGGACCACGTGGAGGTCGACCTGATGAGGTATATTGCTAGCAATGAGACTGGTAGTCCGCATTACTAACAAAACCTTCCCCCCCTCCCCCTGGGTATCGTAAAATATTCTTGGGGAATTCGTCAGGATGGGCTAACTGACCTGCTTTTATCCTTACCTATCATCTCTCATTGGCGTCTCGCCAGCAAATACCAATAGAGCAGGCGGATCTACCATTCCATTCGCACCCAAAAACATCAAGTATCAAAAACAGGCGAAAATTCAGTCGCATTATTTAAAACAAAAAAGCGCGTAATTTTTTAGTGTTGCAAGAAATTCGCTGGAAAATTTCCTAAAAATTGAAAATTCCCTAGATTTTTTTATTTCAATTGATGACAAATTTATAAATTTTTTTAATATACATACATGTATATATTGTATACTAACTCTACACTCCTACACTACAATAGATTATAATAGACTACAATAAAAAAAATGTGTCCGCGTGACTTCTTTTACATTAAAAACAAAAGATGCTCCCATGTGTAGACCACTAAACTACATTTTCTTTTATTTTCCCTGTGATTTACTGTCTCTTTAAGTCACGCCTTTTATTTTATCTGAAAGGCTTTTTGTTACTACCTATACGACTGCTCCACTACACATTTTTTATTACATCAAATATCAGCTTTTTCCCGTGACTTCCAACGCGAGAATTTTGGAAGTAATTACTGAAACATATACCTGATTTCAAATTCGATCTTCAGAAATACAACCGTGCAAATGGTATCCGATTTGGTGGAGTAGTTTGTGCGTGATGTCTGAACAAACAAACAGACAGACAAAACGCTAAAAATTATTGTTTGACTTCCATTATATTCTATATTAATAATGGCATAGATTTAGGACAGTACCTGCGGTCCTATAGATATAATACACAGTGCCAGTAATAATTAGAACGAGACACGTTTATAAGCAAAACATGGAAGTGTGAGGATGATGGATGATCACATTTTTTGTCTTGCTCTACGTACACTTTTATAATACGAGTAGTGAAAAACATTATGCTTACATTATCCGTTCAAATTAAACAGCTATGTCACATATTACACGTCCCGAAAAAAGAGGTAATTTTTTAATTGTTCGTATGCTTAATGATATTCTTCTATTGCTATTTCATAATGCATACGCTCTTAGCATTTCTATGGCATTATCTTTCTACGGGTAATGATAAATAGTCGTAAGTCATAACGCAGTCTATGTGTTGTATATGTCTGTTAAACACATACTATATGGTGAAACCCTTTAGGGACACAACTTCATAACACAAATAATTTCAACTAAGTTTATAACCAGTTTCAGACTCATTGGACTCCTGAGAGGTTGTTTAGAATTTTCTTTATTGAATAAGCTTTAAATCTTGAAAACATGACGTACTTCATGGAATATAATATTATTTAATGACACTAAATAATAATATCAAACATGCCGGGGGAAAGGATTGTTAGTAATGCAGACAACCAGTCTTAATGCTCTAGCAATATACCCCAGCGGTCTATAATAAATTACCTCCACGTGTTCTGGAAACCATCGTGCTGAATATCAGACGTAATCATCACGATGGACTAACTGACCTGCCTTTTCATTCTCACCTATCATCCTGCACTGGTGCCCCGCCAGCGAATACCGTTAGCGCAGGCAGGGATACCATTTAATTATCATCCATTAAAATAAAAAATAATACCAGACATTAATTAGACCTATTAATTTTAGACCTAATATATATATATATATATATATATATATATATATATATATATATATATATATATAGATTATATATAATTTATTTATACTCTTCAATTACATTGGAATGATTAGATGATTTTTTAATAATAAATAGATTTATTTTCTCTTCACAATTCATCACAGTGAAATACAATGAGACTTGCTTATATTAAAGTTAAAGAATTATGAGTATATGAATAGTCTATACTTAATCATCAAGAAATCTAAAAGTATAAATACAACATAGGCAGCGTAAAAACTTTTGACATCATGTAAATGTGGAACGATACAGGTACCGGAAGGAGCATAAATTGATCTACCATAAACAAATTAACCATATAGTATGTATTCCATATTGAAGCCAAAACCCGGTGGTTTCCGAATCCGCATGTATATGAAACGAGTTAGATGTAAAATCGAATTTAAATTAGAGACGATATGATGTTTAAGGACAGAAATATTACTTAGTTTTCTATAAAGAATTTGACGTCGAGACAGATAAAAAGTACGTACAAAACTAAATAATATAAAGTCGCAGACATATCTAGTATGTAAAATAATATATTGAATTCAGATATATACAATAGTTTCATTCCAAGAATGTTATTTATAAAATTTTAAAATATCATCGAGCAAATCTATATACGATTCTGTGTTCAGTGAAATCTTTTCAAAAGAGCAGAGCATAAACGCTTCCAACTGTCTCGTACGTGACATTCTCTCAAGCTGGCGAGAGAACTTATTATCTGGAAGATAGAACCTACAGAATATATCACGTATACCTATCTGCATTATACGATGAGAAATGCAGGGTATCCACAAGTTGGAAGAGCATTCCACTAAGCCGGATCTACGGGTAAAGGCGGGAATTATATGGTATTATGTAAATATAGTGTCGATGATATAGAAGGTCCATTTGCGGTCACATTCCTTTTATGCAAAATGTTTTCACGCACTTGTTTTATTCAAAATTGGAATATGATAATGCAAATTAATAAGTCTTGGGTATAAACACTGCAGTCGTAATGCACTGCAATTACATTAGAAAAATGTTGCACAACTAATCATAGACAAAGATGCAAGGATTTACTCCATTAAGGAATGATACTAAGTGCCACCACCAGAATTATTGTCAAAGAATCTAAAATAATACACAATTAAATTTTATAATAATTAATATAATTTATACAAATTATAATTTTATATAATTAATTAAATTTTATAATAATATATATTAAATATTCTGTGTTCTTCAATGGTCTGTGTAAAAATGTTTTAATGATTATAACTCAAATCCTCGCAAATTAGGGTACGGCCCTGTCCCATGTTCCCGGTCTACCATAAAACCCAATTCCAAAGACAGAATCTCAAATTTCGTGCGAATGATAAAGCATGTTCATATCGCAAAATGGGCTGGAAGATAAGATCGTAATAAGTTCTACCATAAAATGTTCGAACAACCAAAATTTTCTTTCGGTATTTTAAAATTAAAATATTTTTTTTCGGCTCCGAAACTAATGGCAAACTCCTCTTTATACGTACATCCTTGATACAGATTAAAAATTTCTTTGTTATGAATAAAAATTTATATTTCTTTGTTTAAAATATTACGCCTCTTTTAAGATAAATTGCACTGGTTGCTTTATCCATCTACCGAAACTTTTTTTTCATAAGAGAAAAAAAAACTTTGTGATAATAATTTTAACAGCTGCTAACCAACTTTGCATAAACAGTAAACTTTTGTTATCTTCCATTACTCCAGGGAGTTTCAGGAAATCCTTTCTTATAATGTACATTTATAATGCGTTATATAAATCTTGGCTGTGCCCGCGACTTCGATCGCGTGATCAGAATAAAGCATCTGATTACAAAGAGGAGAGAAAAATTATATTATATTTTTTTTTATTGACATTTTCGTTTTCGGAATCAAAATTTATAAGTTTTTTTTTTTACTAGTTGGAAAAATACCAAACAAGCTGCCAGTCCACTTGATGGAGATATGTATCCGTTATTTATAGACATAAACAGGACCATAGATGTCACTGAATACACTATGACGCCCATAATATCCCTCGTGAGTTACCATTTCTGAAGACTAAGTTGTTATGCCCATGTGATTGAAATCATGATAAATACCTGTCATCGGTCTTCGACATGACTCTTGGAGCGGTGAACGTCTCGATTGCCTCAGGTGTTGCATCAGGGAACACATGGCGTTTGTCTCGGATAGTCTCGGTCTGTTCTGTCGTCATTGGTAACGCTGACAGAGCTGAAAAAAGATCACATAACTTAATATTTTTGGAAATAAACAAGTGCCCGGAGAATACTTTATAAGGTCTAATATTCATTAGTAACTAAATTTGGCCGATGAAGTACTTATATGCCATAATACAGATCTGTTCTTCCTTTGGGTAAGATCTGGTGGGTTTTCCATATTTAAAACAACATTTTGCAGCTATTTATTATATATGTGTTTAAGATGTTGTGGGAAATAAAAAAAAAATACTTATTTCTTTTTATTCGAAAGGGCGAAACAAAAGCATGCGATTCACGTGATGGTCAGTGATTACACAACCCATGGTTACTAACGACATCACGAGAGGCGCTAATGCGTTGCCAGTCTTTTAAAAAGGTATTAATTATTTTAGAAAAAAATAATAATAATAAATTAATAAAAACTATGAAAACCACAGCAAAATTCCAAAAACCAATAGTGAATAAAAATGAGTAATAGTGAATAAATATAAAAAAATATACTCTTGACTGCAATGAAGTAGTCAGAGGCATTTGTCGACTATTAATATTGTAAAGAACGTAATAATGCAAAATACGTTCTTGTTTACTTCCGGTCGCTTTGAGCACTCCCATAAATAAGATGAATCCAACGATATCCCATTAATCCATCAAGTCGTTAGACTTCACTTAGCGTTATACCAGATATAAGTACATACAATATAAATACATCCGAAAAACATTACTCTAATTTATTAAGCATTTAATTAAATGTGCGCAAATCAAATTCTTTTGCTAATTTATTTAAAATTGTAGAAATTTAAATAAATTTGCAAAAGACCATCATGAAAGAGCTTTCAATTATAATATTATAATTAAAATTGGTTCACAATTGACGAGGGTACACATAAAGTACAATAAAATTCAAAACCACTTCCCACTTCGAAGTGGATTAAAAGGAATGTTTTATTTGAATATTATTAAGGACTCGATGGATTGTCGGCTTGTAATCTTAAAAGCGTATATACTCGTATTGCTTCGAGCAATATGGTTTCTGGAATTAATCTCGTCAGGGTCAAATACAGCAGATGAATTTATTTAATATAAATTGAAAGTGACTGACCAATGAAATTGTATTTACGAATGATTGTTAGGAATATCGTGTGTGTGTTTTGTAGTAACTTCAAGGAAAAATAAAACTGTGTTTTTTACAGTTTTAATACATAGAATATATATTAATATGCAGAAAATATGTACAAATAGATTAAGCATAATACCAGCATTCTGTTTTTATGGCCGTACATTAATGTTAAAAACAGATATTAAAAAGTGTATTTGTTTATTTATTCTTTTATTGCACAATAAAACTTTGTACAAGTGGCGAGCTTAATGCCATATGATATTATCTTAGATTATTTAGATAGAGCGTCTCCATACAAATGCGTCGAGAAAATCAACTTTTTCATACAATTTTCCGTAAGCGATTCCTTTATAACTTCTATATTTATTTTGTCTTATAATTTTTGGATACTATGTATAATACATTAAAATGTAACTATTAGCCGATAAAAAGTTGACCTATTTTTTAGATTAGATCCTCTATCTGCACAATCTTAGAGCATTTTCTATTAGCTAACAATTAGGTGAAGACAGGAAGCGTATATAGAGCAGTGGTGATGAAAAAGATACGACATAATTATTGTAACATACTAAAATAATTATACATATCATTTCCATATTACACTCTTTAATTTGAAACACAGCCATACAAACAGCGGTATTTGGCAACTAACTCACGAGTAAAGCAGAGATACAGAAGCAAACAATCTACTCCGAAATGAGTACGTTAATGGGTTGTTGATGATTAAATAAACTGATGTATTACCTATATCAGGGTTCTCTGGGTTTTCGTTCAGAAGGCGCTTTAACTGTCTTATATTCGAAATGGAGTCCTCCTTCCTGAACAGTAACGAGTTCGTGAAGTCTTCTGGCTTCAATTTCATCATGTTTGTAACACCCACCTGTTAATGAATATAAATTATTATAATATTGAATGATAATTCTTAAATAAATAAATAAAGAAAATGATCATCACAATGCCATCACCATCATTTCAGCCGTTAATTTGTCATTTAGTAAACATAGGTTTTCTCTATAGACTGTAATAAGTATCGATCGTGAATCACTGAGTTGATATTTTTTTAACATTTAATACATCAAGATAAAGTTATACTTAATTTAACTTATTTGAAAAAATAGGATAGTTTGAATTTTTTTTATAGTCATAATTATGGTTAATTTGCAAAACGCAAGCAAACTTAATTCGATAATACGAAATATGTATTCGAGTAAAAGTAATACAGAGAAAAATAATTTCAAATTTGGGGAATCTGATCTGACAACTCTACATAGTATCTATGTATACAATTTTAAAATTGGCATAAAGCAATCTTGTTACAAATACCCGCAACCAATACCTATCGCTCATTTTCCGTTTCTATTGATCGTAAACCGCACAATGTAATTTAAATTGCTAAGGAAGCCTTATCCAGTAATTCCCTCGTAAGCTTTTACATTCCTTTGCTACCGCTGTTTGCCACAGTGTAAGTACAGTCACATGTAATAATTAAATATCTTTATATAATGTACGTCATAATTTATCATTGTTTATTAACCATAATTAATTTTTTTACTACAATGTAAGCGATAGTACTTTATATCGATACTATTATTTATACCTACTAGGTCGCCCGTCTTTCGCGCTGACACTCCCAGCTCGTAAAGACTAAGATAGGAATGGCCCATTCTTGAATTTACATTCTTTTATTACCTCCCGTGATTACTTAAGTTGTGGAATGATCTTCTTGCCGAGGTTTTCCCTACATCCCTAGAGACTACAACATGGGGTTCTTCAAAAGGGATTTATTAAGATTTCTTAAGAGTCGGCAACATGCACGCGACATCCTTGTTATCACAGGCGTCCAAAAGCTACAATAATTTACCATCAGACGGGCCGAATGCTTGTTTGCCACCATAGTAGTATAAAAAAATATTAATATTTTTTTTTTAATTCACATCTCCCCTCTTAAGGAAAGGAGATTGCAAACTAACAAGCAGAAGCACAGTCGGTCGGAATTATTATTATTATTTATAAAGAAAACTATTGAACCGATTTCGATAAAAATTCTATAGAACTAAGCTGTAAGATATGCTTACTTTCAGATAAAAAGAAGAATTTTCCAAATCGGTTTACAACTGACGGAGTTATGAGGTAACAAACATAAAAAACATATAACCGAATTGAAAACATCCTTCCTTTTGAAGTCAGCAGAATACTGGAAAAATTTCTAAAAGTCATCAAGAAACCAACATATGTGGGGTAACTACTGTTTCTGTGACATACATTACTACTGCCTAGTTACTAGTATTTTTAGATGACATTTATGTTCTGTTAGGTGGAGGGGGGGGGGGGGGTCTGTTTATCATAGTACGTAAAACATTTCTATCTTCTATATTTTCTAATCTACAACGAATCATATTTAATTTGATTTAAACAATTATCTAAGATGCTTGGTTACTTATTTTTTTGTTCCCACGCGTTAATATCTCGGAAAATACTTACATAAAACAAATTAACGATAACAAACATCCTTTACAACGTTATCTTGTTGGAGATAAACGAGTTTGTTTATTAATTAATTGATTGTTTTTCTACAACTACTTATCATTGGTTCATAGAGAACGAAACGGAATTGTTTACTGACTAAAAAGGGTGATAAAGTCATTTAATTGAATTTATTATTATTGATAATTAAATAAAGATGAATGAAACATACAAACGAGACGATGTAACAGTCATAAAAAAGAGTAGTAAAATATTTTTCGCACATTTTTTATTGTTTATGCGTATTATATTTGTTGTATTATTCTCGTGTAACTTATATGCAGTAATCCGACAAAGATACTTATTAAAATTGACTTAAAAGTGGCTCCAAAGAACGAATCGTACGGCATTGGCGTACGGTAGGAAATGGCAAAGGATAAGGGTAGGTACCGAGGTGTAATCCCTCATTGAATACTTTGTGATTTCTATGGTATGTTTATAGGCGACGATTATCATCTTTTCATTAAGTGAGCTTGTTTACCATTCCAAATAATATAAAAATGTAATAACGCCTACATTACTAAGGTAAATAATTGTCAACCCTAAAGCCCACTGCATTAGATGTCAAGTCATTGTGTTCTATGCATATAAAATATTTTACAAGATGATTCAAATTCATAATTATGATAATTATTACATAACAATACTGATTGACTAGTGAGAACTGTGTTCTGACAGTAGGGAGACAGATATCACGATGTCAACATAATTTTGGAACTCAAGTAAACGTGTCTTATTATCGCCACACATTTGCAAAGATTGTTACTAGGTATATATGTTAATTTTTAATTCTAAATTAGACGCAATAGAGATGCCAAGAACGCTGGTTTAAATTTAAAAACAATTAAGGAAATTGACAAAAATACCGTTTACGTTGGGATTTTATAACAAGCTCCGTGCTGAAGAGGTTTTGCAATCAAGAAATCACGAGAATTCAAAAATAAAATTTTAAAGTACCAGACGGGAGACTTTGTAAAAAAGTCGCTTGCTTGGGTACCTCTATCCCATTCGTGTTTCTACCGTGAAGCAGTTGTATTTGCATGGTTGTGTTTCGATTTGAAAAGTGGGATATGGCAGTGAATTTACAGGGTACAGAGGAATAACATCTGAGTCCTCAGGAATGGCAACGCGTGGGAGGTATCATGGTCGAAACAGTATACTCTATTATGTCCATGGTACTACTCATGTCTATAGACGACAGTTACCGCTTTCCATCAGGTGGGCCATTAACTTATTTGCCATTCTAAGTTGCATAAAAAAACTTTTGTCCTGTCAATGTAAATTAGTGGTTTTGAGGTGTTCGCATCGTTTACTCTATGTCTGTATATTGGACCAGCTCCCGTTTCAAGTTAACATTGTCGGAAACCAACAAAGCTATTAAGGAGACAATACCAGAAATAGTCATGAATATTTTATAGGGATCACGAAGCCGCATACAAAGCTTTGTGATTACGGAAATTGGTTCAGAGAAAAAGCTATCAGCCATAGTATCGATTTACACTAGTTAGATTTTCACAATTAGATTTATAGAAATTTCTAGATTTACTAACTAATTTATACTCATATTGATGATCCTTCTAAAAGCTGCAAAGTTACTTGTTTGACATTCTAACTTATATAAGATAATGGCCTCGGACTATTCATGGTAAATATTATTGTCCTATATATATTTATATAGTTATATAATGTATTAATATGCATATATGTATATAATACTAACTGGCTGGGAGGAAGGGATTGTTAGTAATGGGGACTAAGGTCCCTATTGCTAACAATATACACAACCAGATCGATCTCCCCATAGTCCCCCCTGGAAACCATTGTGGTTATTTCCAAGTGTATTCATCACGATGGGCTATCTGACCTGCCTTTCATCCTCATCCATCATCCCTCACTGGTGCCCCGCCAGAGTATACCATTAGCACAGGTGAGGTTACCATTGCATTATCATCCATTAAAAAAAAAAAGCAATACTAACTGGTTCTCTTCTTTTGTCATAATCATGGTACCAGTCGCCACTTTCAGCGTCCCCGTCCTCATCATAATCCTCGTCGTCGGGCATACTATCGTCTTCGAATACAGTTAAGTCATCTAACTTCTTCAGTGTGTCATCATTCTGCTTCTCCTTAATATCTTTTGAACCAACAGATTCCAAATCGTCGGCATATATCTGAAACAAAAAAACTTATATGAATATAGACGTTTGCACTATGGGGCATCACCCTCTGAATAAATAAAAAAATTAATGTCAAATCGCACTTTTTTTTACTGTAATTCATTCTTTTCCTGATTCTCCTAATCATCCTACACTGCGTTTGTCTGTACGGGGTCACCACTCAAGACCATTTCTTACCCATCGGTTGTCGGGCTATGTCGATTACTTTAGTACTTTTGCAAACATTATTTCGGATTCTATCACGCAGATACTCCGAGTATAGCCCTCTCCATAGCCCGCTGAGTAGTTTGAAGCTTTTGCATACAGGCAAGCATGTAAGACCATGTTTCAGTGCCATAAGTCATCATTGGCAACACGCACTGGTTTTAAAGTGGTAAGTTTACTATAAATATGGATTGAGCTCGTCGCTGACCAGTCATGTCCTTTAATACGTAATACGATTCCCAAGTACATTCATCAGTATGAGTTGTTTAATTATAAAACAATAAATGTGGCTTCATTTAAATGACGCGCATTCTACGTCAGAGAGATCATAATATGCTTAATTGTCATCATTTATAAAAAAACGACCTACAAAAAAAGTTATTGTAGTTATACTATTAGTATATTGTAACTAATATGCTAATTGGGGGAAAGGGATTATTAGTAATAGGGTATCACCACTGCATTACTAACAATATACGTTATCAAGTTGACCTCCACGCTGTTCCTGGAAACCGTGGTTAATTCTTGTTGAATTCATCATGACGGGCCCACTGGCTTTCTTTCATCCTCACTTATCATCTCTTACTGGTGCTCCGCCAGTGTATGCCGATAAGGCGATTGGAGAGACCACTCCATTTTCGTTCGTTTAAAAAAACATAAGTCTTTCTATTATTATTATTTTTTTTATTAATTATAATACTAACATCGGATTTTTTTAATAGAAGAAACTGTCGTTTCAACGTCTGTACTATTATTGTGTCTTACGTACAGATGGGCAAAGCACCGGGTTTAAACCCGGTGCTTTGGTAAAAACCCAATAAACACCCATAAACTCCCATAATCACCCAAAAAAATAGGTTTTTACGTATTTTTTTGAAAATATGTAAGTAATACCAATAAATTATTTTTATAAATTGTATTGATCAATTCTACAATATTAAATAAAACGTTAACTAATAATATTTCAGGAAATTTTAAAAATCTATATATAATAAAATGAAAGTAATTAATTTTCAGTGTTTTCATGTTGCAGTTGATCAACATGTTGGCCTTTTGCTTCCCGTAGATACTTTAAAATTTCTTCATAACACCTCGTTCGCACACATGGCCGTATATATTTAAATTCTTGAGCCACTAACAGTCCGAAATACTCATTTCTTTTATCCTCTTCTCCATAAATTAAGCATTTAGAACAGTTTGTTTCTTCTTTCAGTAAATTTTCTTTTACTTTATCCTCGTTTTTTTCTTTGTTGCGACGACGCTGGGTAAATCATCTGGACACTGGGTCTCACTATCGCCAAATATATTTGGAGATCGGCTTCGGCTACGGCTTGGCAGACATTTTTTTCTTTCTACAATTTTAAATTAAATTTATTAGAATAAATGCTTCGAACACACGCGATCTAAGTACCTTTTGTGTTTATTATACCTTACCTACCTAGGTATAAAAAGAGTACTTACGTAGATTTTCTTTTATTAACTGTTTTATACGAAGATCTTGATCTCTCAAATTAGCATCCATTTTACTTCCAGTGATTATCAACTAAATTAATAATCCACAAAGTATTAAATAACGTTTTTATGAAATATTTAGCACAAAAACAATACCCTTTAAATATCGATCGTCAGTAACTGTGGCTGACTTACCTATATTCTAGCAAGCAGGACTGCCAGATGTGAAGGGGAAATCCCCAATAAATTGTTGCATGTGACTGATGATGTGAGCATGTTCGTTTCATAATAAAAATGTTGCCAGGTAACCAAAAAGTCGTATGTTTTTGTGCGAATTACGATCATAATCTTTACGATCGTACATTAAAAAATAGACAAATAATAGTATGAGTACGATTTAAATCGTATATCTGTCAACCCTGCTAGCAAGACAGCGACAAAATCACGTTGCATAACAATGTAGCCCAAGCTTATATCTTATGAAATATACGGAAGAGATACGGACTTAGAAAAAACAGAAATGTTGTTCTTTGTGGAAGTCATTGATGAAATTCTATGTATTTTAGCCCGCAAACTTTCTTCAAACAAAAACAGCGCCATCTAGTATCGAGTTCTGTAATTATCTCTTTGTTTATGGATTTGAAGTAAGACCGCCACGCATGCAATACATTATGACTGGGGATTCCCCTATTCGTTGACGCTGAATATGAGGCGACGACAATCACTGTCAAACGTGTTCACTATTACTCTGACTCTGGTAACGTGACTTCCTGGTAACGTGTTAGGTAGGAAAAGCAGTAAAAAAGTGCATATTAAGGGAGCAGATTTGAAATAATATTTATACTTAACAAGAAATAATTAAAGGTAAGTGGATTTTTGAATGATACAATTATATCATGATCACTTAACAATTTTAACTTAAAATTAGATGTATTATTACAAGCTTTTATTTAGCTTGCGTTATGTAAATAAAAGTATGTAGGTATGTTCGTATGTTGATGCAATTATCCTCAATCCTCAACCGACTGGGATAAAATTTTCCATACACGTTTATTTTGGATGATAGTGCATAGTTAGCTGAGAGTCGTCATTGGATAATAATGGTGGATAGCCTAAGATGTGTACTAGATATTTATTTTTAACATAATATGCGTAAGTACCTAATCGAATTAAAGAAGTTGCTGAGAAAAATACAGAACAATACGATAATAAACTAGCGTCTGCGTTTAATCCTCCGAGGAGATGTAATTTTACAAAGGTTTTTTGTATTTATTTTATTATTTTTTTAATAAATTTATTGTAAATAACAAGAAATAATCATTGTAAAAAAATAGGCACTCTATTGTTGAATTTTCGTCAGACCAACTAATCATCGTTCATTTTTTTAGGTTCAATGGGGAGACCTAAAGATTTACGCATATGGGAGCACTACCGTACTTTACCAAACAAGTCTGTTTCTTGCAAGCTTTGTAATAAGGTCTACAAATTCAGTAATGCTGCCAAAATGCTTCAACATCTTATCACTTGTCCAAAATCTCCAGAAACATTAAAAGACTCTATGAAACTTATAAAAGATAGCTCGTCCAAAACCAAAATGTCTGGACTGTCAGAGATAGAGACAAATGATTCTTTTATAAGCCCCTCGTCGTCTGCTAACACTACAATAAATGCTGAGTTTCAAGACACCGATGATCATATAAAAACAGAATTAGCGAGAGCTATATTTGTAACAGGGACGCCATTATCGATGGTGCAACATCCTTTATGGATACAATTTTTCGAAAAATTGCAACCAAAATTTAAAATACCTTCACGTAAAGCTTTAGCGACAAAATACTTAGATAAAATATATAGAGAAATGCGTTTTGAGTTAAATGAGGAACTAAATGCTTGTAGTTACTTACACCTTCAGTGCGATGGCTGGTCTAATTTAAGAAATGAAGGAATAATAAACTTTCTTATATCAAAACCTCAACCTGCATACGTTAAAAGTTTGAATACAGAAAGTAATCCTCACACTAGTGAATACCTTAGCCAAGAAGTTGAAAAAGTAATGAAAGTGTATGGAGCAAATAAGTTTCTTGTACTTATTGGCGATAACGCTAGAAATATACAAAAGGCATTCGAATTAACAAAACTCAAATATCCACATGTTGTTCCTCTCGGTTGCTGTGCACATATCCTTAACTTGTTGTGCCAAGATATTGTAAAGATACAAGAAGTAACTGTGTTTATTATGCAAGCCATAAATATAATAAAAACTGTTAAAAGGAGTCAACGATTAAGTTCCTTGTTGATAAAATCAAGGCAGGGTGAAGATTCTACACAAACACTAAAATTGCCTTGTGCTACAAGATGGGGAAGTCATGTTACTTCGTTAAAAAGTTTGAAAGCAAATAAGATAGCTTTGCAAATATTAACAGTTAGAGAAGATGTGGTAATTTCAAGAGATATTAAAGATTTAATTCTAAGTGATGATTTCTGGACGAAGACAGGGGAATGTATAAGTATTTTGGAACCAGTCACTGAAAGCATATTTTACTTAGAGAGCGACCAGAATCGTTTGCATCGCACATACATTACATTTAGAGATGTACAAGCTAAGATACGTTTTGCATTAAATGAGATTTCGACATTGAGCGAAGAAAGCAAACAGCAGATTCTAACATCAGTATCTTCAAGATGCAATATGGCAATGAGGCCAATACATTTTGCAGCATATATTCTAGACCCCAGGACTCTAGGAGTCGAACTTACTCAAGAGGAAGAACTTAAGGGTATGGAGTTTATCTACAATTTAAGCCAACACTTAAGTTTGTCAAATGTAATGGCAGATTTGGCGTGTTATAAAGCTAAAGAAAACTTTTGGGCCAGAGGATTTGTATGGAGCTCATTAGATAGCATTGAGCCCCTAATATGGTGGAAAGGTATTTGTGGTTCCACTGAGTTAAGCAAAGTAGCGATTCGTATTCTATCAACTTCGGCAGCCACTGAGCGTTCCTTTAGTATCCAAGGCTACATACATAATAACAAAAGAAATCGACTTACAACTGAAAGAACTGAAAAAATTTCATTCATTTGTTATAACTGGAATCTTAAACATAAAGCTGAATGCGAGGACATTCAGTTTAATGAAGAAAATACCTTAGAAGCTTTCATTGAGCAAGTAAATGAACATAACAGTTTAGACGAAATAGAGCCTATCGAACCTATACAATTCATCGCTTGTAATAACTCTGAATCTGACAGTGATTGACTGTAGTTTTACATTTTACTTTCATCTCTTTCTTAATAAACTCAAAATCAAATTAAAAGTTTTTTATTCTGTAGGCTGCATA